CGTTGCGGGATTGCGCATACATCGCATTACTCATTCCCGCAGCTTTCGACTTTAAAATGAGGGAAATTACTGCAAAACCTTTATACAATATAGCATGTAGGTTAGATGAGTAAATAAATCCACACAAACCATCAGGTGAAAACAGCGTAGGTGATTCAGCTGTACCACGTCTTCTCTCTTTGACTTTCGCTTGGTTTTGTCTTAAGTTAATGTAAACAGTTGCAAAATAAAACGCATGAGTATCAGTATTGGATCCGTGAAATAGGTCCTGTGACAGCAGCCTAATAAAGCTGTGCCGTCTTTTATTAATGTTAATCAAACAACAAAAGACAAAGAAAATCCCTTACTGCTCTTGACTAAATAATGTTTTGTTGAATAACTTTTAATGTTAATTTACAGTTTATTCAATTTCTGTCGCCTATTTAAAACACGTTCATAACTTAGAAAATGTAGTTAATACTTGCATCATTAATGATTTATTTTATCCACCCCACGACCCACCCGCAAATAATCAGAATGCATTTTTTTATTACCCGACCCACGGATTATCCGCAGCACCCGCGGATATAACCGCCATCCGCGCATCACTAGTGTGCATGTATATTTAATTGAAATAAAAATAAATAAAAAAACAAAAATATAAAAAAACAAACAAAACAAATGTTTTGTTTTTTTTTTTTGAGATTTTGAAATAATGGACTAGCAGAAGAAAAAAAGGGGAAAATTAAGACGCATAAACAATGTTTTAAATAACGAGTATACTATAATTAAATACAATATAAATTAATAAAAAAAAAATCATTAATTAATTGCACTAAATTGACAGCCCTTAAAAATGACTGCATGAAGACAACAGTACTAGATTACCTCCTAAAAAATGAATAAAACAGACATAAGCTCTGTTTAAGAGTGTGTCTTTCAGTTAAACTCAGGCAACATGAGAAGATGGACAACAGACTTGACAACTGACAAGATGCCACTAGTTATATCTCATGGTTGCACGCACTCAAATCTTACGCATACAGATAACACTCTTTCAACAAAAGGCACGCCTGCAAAATTACATGGATTCCCTATAATCAAGACATTTAATGTTGTTTATTATTGGTATATGATCACAATGAGAATAATCAAATCTATGCAATGACATTCAGAAACCTACCATATAGAGGAGGTTCTTTCTTTACCGCTGTAAAAGAACAATAAAGTACATTTAACATATATACAAAGGCCCAAAAACACGCACTTTGGACAGCAATCTAAGCCTGTGATTTGTGCAAGCACATCAGATTTAGTCTAAATTTGGACTATAAAGCACATCTGATGTGCACACAAACCACAAATCAGATTACTGTGTTTAGGGGAAAAAAGGGTAAAAACGCTATACAAAAACACAAAGGAGAAAAAGATATCTAGATTGAGCTTGGTTTATAATCTCTCCAAGATGTGTGCAAAGAAGGAAAATTATAGAACAGAAACAAGCAGCTCATGCATGTAAGCGTACATACAGGCATACTGACCATGCTGCGAGGGAATGGTGTCTTCTGAGCACGACGGCGTGGTTGTCTGGGTGCTGTATCCGCTGGAGCAGTGGAGGGAATCTCGGCTGGTCCGAGGAGCTTCTGAATTAAGCCTGCCTCCAAGAGTAAGAGCCAGCTGCTCCCTGGCTGACTGTGGCTACGGACAGGAACGAGAGCCAATCAGAGATCAGAAAAAGTCTGGAGTCAACCACAATGATTCCAGTAGAATCAAAGGGTGTCTAAAATTCACTTTTTGCTTAGAAATAATTTCTGCATTTAAATGAGCGTGTACCTTGCCCGAGGTGGACAGTGTCCTGGCTCTCTCCTCATGCCCGCTGTAAGCTTTGAGCAGTGGGGGCATGGAGGTCCCGTTCTCTGTGCCAGGAGACATCTGGCCTTTCTCCTACACAAAAATGTACTCTGTTAGTCCATCTCAACTTAGTAAGTAGCAAAAGACACTATGACACACTGTAGTCACTAGGTAATAAGGATTTAAAGCCAACATGAAATGGTGTTCACAAATCAGTTTATCATGATGTGACGTGATTAAACAATAAGTTAAAATATAGGGCGTGACTTAATTTGATCCAACAGGAAATTTGTGGATCATGAAAAATGGTTTGAAGAGCATTGAAAAAGTTTGAAGAGCATTGTGGAAGTTTTTTAACCAGGACATGGAGCTTGAAGGTCAAGTTCACCCACCAAATGGTAACTTAATGGTTCTTTAAAAAAATGTTTTTTTTTTTTACTTTTTACCATTATTTGCTACTATCTCAGAACCCTTTATTCCAATAATGTTAACTCTTTTCCCACCATTGACAACGTTTTACATAATTTATGACATCTGTATGATGCAAGCTTTGGATTATTTTTATTTTTCATTATACAACTGCAGTTCAATGGAAGTAAGAAAAAACAAAAATGCAAATATAAAATTTTCTGCTTGAAATTTAAATTTAAATTTTTTTAATGATGTTGATAAAGAGTGAATCAATTAGAATATTTTTTCCTGTTGCTAAAAAATGGATATGTAAAAAGAAAACGAACACAAACCTCTGTTTACATATTCATACGACAAAATATTGTGGGGGTAATTTGTGAATATGTGACTCTGGAGCACAAAACCAGTCATAAGTAGCACAGGCATATTTGTAGCAATAGCCAAAAATACATTATATGGGTCAAAATTATCCATTTTTCTTTTATCATGTTCCATGAAGATATTTTGTACATTTCCTACCGTAAATATATCAAAACGTAATTTTTTATTAGTAATATGCATCGCTAAGGACTTAATTTGGACAACTTTAAAGGTGATTTTCTCAGTATTTTGATTTTTTTGCACCCTCAGATTCCAGATTTTCAAATAGTTGTATCTCGACTTAATATTGCCCTATCCTAACAAACCATACATCAATGGAAAGCTTATTTATTCAGCTTTCAGATGATGCATACATCTCAATTTCAAAAAGTTGACAATCATGACTAGTTTTGTGGTCCAGGGTCACATATGATCAAAAATGTCTGAGGTGGCTGACAAAATAATACTCTGGCAGGGAATGAGTTAATTTATATTTTATTTTTTATAAAGGCTGCATTACCTAAAACAGTAGCATAACATTAAAGTAGGATAACATTAAACCATCAGCAGAAAAGGGAAAATGTTGAAAAAGATAAATTGCACACAAGAAGACCAGAAATGTATGTAAACAGTCAGTTTTGATTTCATGTTGACTTTATTGACGCTTTGTTAAGTGTAGAAAAGTTCAGATTGGCCTGTCAGAGCATGCAGGTTTTTAGTTATAGATATGCAAACTGGTTAATGTGTTTGTTTTAAGTCATGGGACTGATATTATATTCAAAAACTGAAATTAAAAACAAAATGAATTAAAATCGCTTCTTTCTCCCTGTGTAAAACTATCAGGTGTCCCTCTAAATGGCCTGCAGAGGGCGCTGTCTACCTTCACAGACACAACCTCCACACATGCACAACGACAAACACAGAAGAAAACCACCAGCGGTAAGTGTCCAGTAGTACATGCAACAGTAATGAGTCCATTCACAGTCACACACAGCACTACACTGAGTCTATGCTCACAGTGCTCCTGTGCCGGAGGTGTTGGCCATGGTGGCCCGTGCGAGGGATTGTGGGAGAATTCCCCTCACTGAGAGAGCGAGCGCCTTCCTCCCCTCCAACCAGGAGGAGAGGACTGCGTGAGCACTGGGAGACGGAGGTGAGTGGCAGAGAGGAGTGGAACAAGAGAAAGATGAGATTAGATCAATCCAAGCCTCCATCAAAATCCAAAGCCCCTTAGACCCCTATACAAATGGTTGAAAGTAAATGCTTTCTGGTATTCTATTCAGTGCCTGATTGGAAAATCATAAAATGTCACTTGTTGATCTGACTTTTAAAATATATACATATATCACATAATATGGACGAACTTAAAGCAAGACACTACAAGCAAAACCACTGGTTGATTTTGAGATTTTGGGCTATTTTGCTTCTATAACATGTCTTCTTTCAGACCAGTGGAAATATAACACCCAAAACAGACATTTAAGTGTTTATTTTATTATACTTCATCTATTTGGTCTGTAGATTTCAACTACAATACATATCTTTAAAGGCTTTTTTCTCAAAATGAGTATTTTCTCCTGCACTGAGCCAGAAATAATTTCGGCAGTACATACACCAAACTTTACTTTTTGGCAGAAATAGAAATAGTTATCCAAAATCTCATCTGTAAAATCTTTAATATGTCAACAAAATTAAACAAGAATTTTGTCCAACGTTCAGATTTCTGTTCTGGAAATCTATGCAAATAAGTGCATTTTTAATTATATTTTCCGAATTTACTTATTTAAACAACATTTTAGAAACCTTGCAATACAAAATTCAATGTCTTCATGCACTTTTATTAATGAACTGGGAAAGTATGGTGATATAATAATTAAAAATTTAACCATATTTACCTGTGCTATCTTGCCTTAACATTTTGGTGTGTTTTCACATAATTAACTTGTAGATCAGACTGATAAACTAAGCATACTACACATAATCGTAGCAAACAGTATTATAATTTAGTGTTCTAATAGTATTAACCTGTATTGTACAATAAAACTGTATAATTTTGCCAAATGTATAATTTATTACCATGCATTTTGTGTTACTATTTTAAGCATCACAACAGTGAAATACTACCTTATTTCCATTACACTTGCACTGTAATACCCAGACAAACTACATTAAATCTTCTATATTATTTGCACTGAAGTACTGTCCAATTATATGTGTATTGATGATCAGTTTGCTAATTTGATCTTGGGGTCCGAAGAGGTTGGATTTTGAGGAGGTCTGGATTACGCACCACAGCGAACTGCAGGCTGCAGTGTTGGTGCTTACATCTGTATGTGTTTCTTTGGGCTGAATGAGGCAGTATGTGTGTTCTGAGTGACAGATTATTCAAACTATTTAGGTTTCTTAGGATTAGCATACCAGTTGGACTAGGTAAATTTTGGACCCACAGTTTTGTGATGTGGTGCATGTATCCATGATACCTGTGTTGCGTCTGGTGCTCTCAGATGAAGCCCATCTACTGCGCTGGAGATGGAGTCCAGAGATGGGACATGACGCACAGAGGTGTAGTTACTGAGAGAGAGAGAGTTTATACTGATTATTTACAATAATACACAATTGTTTGTTACGTGAGTGTCAATTTCGAGGAAAAATAACATGTTAGATACAATGTTAAAAAAATAAAATTGGCCTTTTCAACAAAAACACTAAAATGTTAATATAACATATATTATCAGTAATTCAAATAACATTTTCTAAGGGCAAGTTAGCTAACAGTTCTTGCAACGAACATTTCTTCCTGACACCGAACTCACCTGCTGATGCTGCCCTTGCGTGATAATGTGTTGCTAGGAGAAGCGGGTGGAGTCTGATACGAGAAGCTGTAGTCTGAGCCTTTCAGATCAAGAATAACCTGCATAAACAAAACCAGACCAGAATGTCAGAGATCGAGAACATGCACAGCTCTACAGATGTGCCTGATTAGAATCTATGCAGCACCTGTTCACTAGCAGGAGGCAGTGTGTTGGGATCAGCCGTTAGGTTGCCAAGATCTTCTAGAATTGTCTGTAAGTGGGTGACTTCACCAAGCATGCTTATCTCTTCATCCTGACAATACAAAGAAAAAAAAATGGTGTGACAATATTAAGCAGAAAACATTTTTTTATTATTAAATTATTTCCATGGCGATTAGGCACTTTCCCCCCAAATTCTCATAATTCTAATGCATTCTGATGTTTGATTGTAATACAGTCATGAGAATCATCCCGTTTAATAAGAAACAGCCATCAAAACAAACCACAACCACAATGTTTCATACAGTTAAAAACAAAAATCTCTTTTTGTGAAAATGTTATGAAAATGTGACAAAATGCTGTGGTCTTATACCAGGCATTTTCTTTTTGCAAAATATAATGTCTTATCAGTCTGTTCAGACACTCACCAGGACAGGTTTGAGCATTGTGACGAATGAGCAGAATCTTCCTCTTTCCTCGACAAGTGCTCGACACACGGCTCTCTTCTCAGTCTCCTCTAGAACTGCGTAGCGTGTGTTGACGTCCTGAAGAGCGCTGTCCAGCTGCATCCGCACCTCGTCTTTACCTACACAAACACAATGACATTTCAATATTAATATATTATTTATATTCATACTAACTTTTTATTATTTATACTAATATTAATGCACATTTATATTAATAGTAATATTAAAGAATGATGCATCAAGTATTGTTATTGCTTATTAAAACTAAAATAAAATCAAAAGGTTTGTTCATTAACTGAACTATATCTGAAATAAAAAACAAATATTAGAATAAAAAAAACAAACAAACTGAGAATTAAAATGTTGCCTTGGCAACTGAAGTACTAAATAAAGCCAAAAAGGCTAGGAAGTAATGATAAATGTTATAAAAGTATTTAAATATTACTAAAGCAACAATGGATGCAAAACAGCTTTGTCTCGCTGATATTTGAAGGAAGGAATAACTTTGCCTGGTAGCTTAATGTTAAAACTTATGTTGTTTTCAACCACTAGGAGGCAGTACAGTTTCTACAAACACTTAATACATCATGCAAATATGTGCTGCAATGCTAATAGGTGTTCTAAGAGCCTGGCTGTGCAGATTTCATAGTTCTGGTAATAGCACACAGGTGGACTGTATGGTGTGCATGTGTTCTTGTGTTGCATTTAAAGCCCAGCTGCCACTGAGAGCCCCTCACATTCCATAGTAGCTACTAGATAATACTACTACACAGCAGTGGTCAACCAATACGGCTGTTTTTAGTGACTAACACTGATATCTAGATTCTATGGTGCTGGGCAGCTAATATAATGCAGCTTAATGATAGAAAATATGGATTTACTCAAACATTCTAAAAAGCACAGGAAAACATGAACTGGCAAACATAATGATACAAGTTTACAAGAAAGATAGAAAAAAAATGATGCAAAGTGTTTAATATAAGAACATAAGTGAGTGATTTTTAATTATGATATGATGACTGCTTCTGTCTCCTGGTGCTTTACTGATGAAGTGCAATGGGAGAAATGTTAGGTTAATCACATTTAGAGGTTTGTTTACCTCATGCCAGCACACACCACATGAGGAGCTTTAAACACATGACCTGGACTTTTCCTCTGTTTTTCATCTCTCAGCAGATGCATCACCCCCAACACATCTCATCTAAATGAATAGTTTCTTTGCTTTTGCAGTCACATTACTGCATTTTTGACTGTGTATGCGAGTGTGCATCAGGGTCAGAAATAAACTTTTCCATTAAGGGAATTCATTTCTCATTTCACTTTAATGGTGCCAGTTGCTATATTAATTGTCCAGGGGCATTTTTTGCCCCCTTATTTTAAATTTGGGGGGCATTTTTGTTCGTTTTGGTGGCATTTTTGCCCCAAGCCATTCATTTCTCACCCTGGCATGCATAAACGGGATGAGCAATATATCTTAATAGTCAAATTTTATATTGTCCACCAGCAAACACATCACAAATATATCATGCAAATTTAATGTATTGCTCAGTCCCACAGTCGTAACAATAAAGGTTCTTGTCAAATGCACAAAAAAGTCCTTTATAATGGAAAAAAGTTTCCTTAGATTATTAAATGGTTCTTCACGCTTCATGGTTATTTTAAGAACTGTTTACTGAATGGTTCTTTGGGGAACCAAAAATGTTTTTTTTATGGCATCACTCCAAAAACCACCTTTCAGAACCTTTATATATGCGTTTATGGACTATTTGCAGCTCTTCTCAGTCTCAAAAATACACACGGCTACATTTTCAACATTCCATCCAACAGAAGAGCATTCTGACAGCTTGTGCAGGACATTCAGACGCATACACACTGATCCCATCGTCCCCACTGCTTACAATAACCTCAGGTGTGCTTTGTGACACCTGATCTTCTGCACTCCAAGCTGGCATGCAAGACAGAAGTATGGTTATTTTCACAGGCACTACAAGTTTCTTCAAACACGTTTATAATGATGTTCGCTCACATTAAAGACTACAATGATATGCTGGCATGTTAAGATCACTTGACCTGGTGAATACTACTTCATCTCAGTGACCCACTAGACACTTTTAAGTAGTAGAAAAAAAACAATAATTATCACTGGTAACAAATACACCTGAGAATGGGACATTTCTACAATTTCAATTTACCATATTTTAGCTAAGGAAACCTTAACTAATCCTCACAATAAGGTTCATTAGCATTTAGAGAACACCTCTTGAGTCTAGATTGCATTTTAATTAAATAACAGAATCAGATCCACAAATGTTGCACAAGCGCCACAGCACAGTGAATCTAAACAACCTCTGCAAATAGTGCCGAGTATGCATTTTTAGGATTTAAGCAATTCTCGTCAGTGTTGCGGAACTCAGTTAAGTCCTTTGACCTTCCAGGCAGAGACATGATCCCTGGTGCTCGAGTACATTGACCTTGTGCTGGATTGTGTCACCGGATGTGTGTTTAGATGCTCCTAGACCATTACACCTTCAAACACAGCTTGCAGTGAAGGCTGAAAGAAACCTGGTTGGGTAGGACAGCCTATAGGGCTGGGGTCATCTTCAGTTTAAAGGGCAAAGGTCAGTAAGTCTGTTGATAAATCCCACGGCCTGTCTGCAAGACAAATGGCTTAGGAAACATGCAGCTCTATATGAAATATGTTACAGGAGCCTGTTTCATGTTAACAGAATACACCCCAACACAGAGAAATGTGAAAGAGTGACAACAACCCCTCAGAACACATTAAACATCACCCTAGAAACAGCATAGCAATGTACTAGACACCACTAAGACGACTTCAGGCCAGCAAAAATATTCAGCAGGTGATACACCACAACCATAAATGAGTTGCTTTGAGTCAGCTACTCGGACACCGCCTAAACAACCTCATAGCAACACCCTGACAACCGCCTAAAACACACCAGCATCATGAAGAGTTTTGCACTGGCAAGTACCACTCAAATCTTCTTATGAAAAAATGTATAAATGAATTATTTATTAATAATATACAACAAATATTATTTCATAAATAATTT